GGCTCACTTTGATCCTGTCAAGAGCTGGCTTTAGACTTTATTGGGGTTACTTTGTTTCAATTTTGCCCATACTCATGGAGTGTAGTCCTTATTTGCAAGGTAAGGGGAAGAAGAAGAAACAAAGAACAGCTCCTCTTTCAATTTTGAAAGATATCTTTCACTTATAGAATTCTGTGGGGACCACTTTTTTTCTTTAAGTATTTTTTAAAAGTTGCTTTCTTGTCTCCTGACTTCCATTATTGCTAATGAAAAGTTAGCTGTAATTCATATTCTTGTTCACCTGTATTTAATGTATCTCTTCCCTTTGGCTGCTTTAGAGATTTTTCTCATCTTTGGTTTTAAACAGTTTGATTATGATGTATGTAGGTGTGATATGCTTTGTATTTATTCTCCTTGGGGTTTTCTGACCCTCTTGGGTCTATAAATGAATGTGTTCTCTTATATTGGACAAATATGGTACAGTGTTTTTTCATATACATATATATAATCTCACATTTTCTCTCTCCTTTATTTTTGGAATTCACTTCCACATATATTAGACTACTTGGCATTGTACCAAAGATATCTGAGGTTACATTTCTTTAATTTTCAGTATCTTTTCTCTCTGTTCTTCAGATGAGATAACTTCTATCTTTAAGTTTATCATCCTTTTCTCCTTCCAACCCCATTCCATTGTTATACCCATTCAGTGAAGTTTTCATTTCAGACATTATACTTTTTGGTCCTAGATTTTCACTTGTTTCTTATGGCTTTCATTTCTCTACTGAGATTCTCCATCTACTTGTTCATTGTGATCATATTTTCCCTTAAATACTTGAACATAATTACAAGTTATTAAAAAAATTTTTTTCCCACCAGTTCCTACATCTAGGCCATCTCAGAGTCAGTTTCTTTTGACTGCTTTTTCTTGAGTCTGAGTCACATTTTTCTGGTTTTTCACTTGCCTATTAATTTTTGTTATTTTATGTTCAACACTGTAAATTATACAATATGGTCTTCCTTTAATGAGTGTTGGTTTTAATCTTGTAAATTTCCCTTGGCTTGTCTGGTCTGTTTTTATTCTTTGAGAATGTGATATGGAGAGACAAAATTTTGAATTTTTGACCTAAAACATGATTTTTACACAAAGGTGTGCCCTTCCTAAAGGGATGGCCTTTCTAACATCTAAAGTGAATGCTTGAAGTGCTTCATGAGGTCTCTCCACCCCCACTGAGATAAAATTCTGTCTCTCAACACTGCATGATATGCAGCAAGCGATCCCTGCTAGGCTGTGCAGTCTTATCATGTCCATATTCATCTCAGCTCTTGGCCAAAGAACCATGGTGAATCCCCATGTAGATTCTTAGGGCCCCCTTTTTCACAGCTACCCACTTTCAGATATGCTACCCTGCCAATTTCAGCTGCTTCAATAGTCCAAGACTCCAAGTTCTCCTTAAATGAGACTACTCTGTATGGATTCCACTTTCCTGCACCCCAGGGGAAAAAAAGGTGCCTTTTAGCAGAAAAACCAGGACAACTATGGGATAGTCATGGAGCAGACCTCACGTATGTCCCTTCTCTCAAAGATCACAGCTGTGTGCTGCCTATTACCCAGTGCCTGAAAAGATTTGTCACACGTAGCTTTAGAGGTTTCTTCCCAGTAGGAAAACAAGTCAGGTACCTATTACTCTTTCACGGCTAGAAGCAGGTCTTTGGTGCACATTTAAATGCACACTGAGATTTGACTGATACTTTCACTGATACTTTTAACTATTCCTAAGAGGAATTTTTGACGAAGAATAGGTAAGAGCGCACTTAATAAAATTTTAGGAGTGACTAAAGAGGGAAAGGGGCAATGTTCTTAAGGACATTGAAAACAAACTTAAAATTTCAAAGTTAACCTATGTTATGTATATGATACGCTAAGTTGGATAAACTTAGCAAGTAAAAAAATTGTAATGATATATATTGTTGTTATTTTATATATAACCTATATTGTAATGTATATGATACTCATAGATTTAGAAAATAAAAAGATATATTTTTCTTTCCTATTTTGACCCATCCTGTTAATACAAAATGTTTTCACTTAAGGTCACTGAATCTAAGTTGGAGATACTAGACCTTTGAATCATTGGTTAGTGAGTAGCTAAATTAGGAGTCACTGCCTTAGGAAGAAGCCAGTTCAGACTGAAACACAAATGACTATTTGGTTGAAGAAGTAACTCTCCATTTTTAAAGGGTGGAGATGGTTTGGTAGTAAATTAGTTCTCTCTCTGCCCTGGGAGATTAGACAAACAATGGATCTAACTAAGAAAATAGACTGACTCATTTGGCTATGATGCTATACCGAAGTTATAAGCAAACTAACATTAATCTCCAGAAAGGAAATCAGGTTCTGTATACTGTAAATGAGTTTTACAGTCAATTCTGAGATTTCTCACTAAATTAAAAAAAAAAAAATCAGACATCTATAGCCCTAATGACACTCTGAACCCTGCCTTTCCTTACCTCATCATCTGCTATAGCATAGCTGAAGTCATATGCAATTTACTTCATTATTTATTAACTCTTCTTTAGGGTGGTAGTTTTTATTGCAAGAGAAGTGAGGATTGTAATAACTTCCCTTTCTCTGAATTTTCTTGAGCATTCTCCAACTTCTTCTAGTAGTGAACACACTATCTTCAAAGTGAAGGGTTCATCTGAAGAACAGGTACAGATGAGGAGGGAGGCAAGTCAGACCTGTTAGCAGGAAGAGGAGTTGTACAGGGCTCATAATGGGTCATAAGTGAATAGGGGTGGAGAATAAAGGGAAATGTAATCACAGATCTGAAAGAGACAAGTCATCTGGTCCAGACTGCCTCTAGACAGGTCAGGAAGGGGTGTTTGGGTGGACCTATTTTCACATCTGGATTTAGCTTCTCTTGAACTTTTCAGCTTTTTGCCTTTTACCAAGGCTGATTTCTTCTCTGCAAGTCATGTGGTACTTCTGCCCCAGGATGAAGTCCTTTGGAGTGGATTTAATTAGCTTTGGGGATGGTCCGTTCTTTTTCCAGAAGGTCTGTTTCAGGTTTAGGTCATTCCATTGGCCTCACCAACAACTGAAGGGCAGATGTCCTGGCCACTCAATAATTCCCTGGGCGGAGAGGAAGGGCCTCTAAGCTGATGGTCACACTCCTTGTATTTCTAACTCCCCTTAGCTGTGAGGACAGGAGGTGCTGAGGTGGGTGGAACTTGGAGTTGAGTTTTTTAGGTAGTTTCAGGTCTCCTAGTCCAAAAGAGAAGCATACAGCTGCCTACCTTTCCCAACATACACATCCACACCCCTACATTATTTGCTGGTAGAAGTGAAATTTTGGCAACTTAGGGTTCCTCTGGGGCCACTCATTTCTTCCACATGTCCCAAGTTTCTGGATTTACTGCAAAAGACTGGACAAAGTAGAGTGGAAGTAAGCCATAGCTTATTCTTCCTATCTTTCATCCAGGAAAGAGGTTTATGAGCAAAGAGGTAAATGAGATTATTTCTTGCTGTTCGGTGCCTATCACATCGCTCACCCCGCCTCCCACGCCGCCACCAGCGTGTGCACACACTGTGAGCAGAAAAGCAACCCCCACCCACTCCTGCCCCGCGCCCTCCTCACCCCTCCCTCCCGACCGGCACAGACCGACCAGAACTTCCCTTGGGTCGCGGCCCAGCGATATGGAGCGGCCCTGGCGCACAGCCCTGCTCTTCCCGAGTCGTGGGTGGCGCGGTGCTTGTTTCCCTCCCCTCCCTTTCCGGACCCAAACAGGGATGTATCTGGGTCAGCCTGGGAGGGGCTGGACCTGCCAGGGATCGGCAGGGGGGATGGGGGTGGCGATGACAGCATCTTTCAGGTTTTTGGCGTTTCTGAGTTTGGCCCCGTCCAGCCTCTCACCGCGCTCGCGCCCAGCGAGGGCTGATGCTCCGGCTAGTCCAGGCCCTGGGAGTGGGTGGGGGGGAGACCCTGTCCTTTCTATCTGGACGGCCACCCCTCCTCACTGTGCGAACAATGCGGCGCCCACCCCCACCCTCAACACGCACACACATTCCCCATTCCCCAAGGCACGCTCCCCTGGCGGGCGGCGGGTCCCTCCACCCCAGGAAAAGAGCAATGGAACAGTTCACGGCCGCCACGAGTTCCTGGTCTTCCTTCCTTTCCGGTGATAAACGGCGGGGCTACAAGCCAGTTGCTGCTTAAGATGCTCCACCCGTGAGCCTGAGCCTGAGCCTCTCTTGGCTCTGTGCGGGGGGGCCCAGATCCAGGACCCAGGGTCCTTTTACCCCCGCGAGGCGCAAAGGCGTGACCCGTGTTGGAGCACAGACCCCCGGCAGCTCCCCGCTGCCTCGGTTCCTCCCTCTGTGATCTTTTGCGCTCCACAGCGCCGGGGAGGAGCTGAGGGTGCGTAAAAACCGCATCTTCCCCAGACACTTTGGCTGAGGGTGCCTGGGTGAGGTCCGGAGGGTCATGGACTCCCGGCTCCCCACCCTGCGAGCTGTGTATATAAGCCCAGCTCCGAGGAATCAAGGCCACAGGTCTTCATTTCCCTGAGGCCTGGCCCCTCCCTCCCCAACCTTGCCCGGCTTCGCCTCGGCAGCCCCAAATCTCCACTCGCTCTTCCTCTTGGCGTTGGGAGAGAAGCGGAGCAATGAGTTGAAAATCATCTCTGGATTCTTGCATCCTGTACACAGTAATCTCATCCTCTCCTTCATTTTCCCCACATTGCACGCTCGGAGACTTCTATTTGCCGGAGGGTAGCCTCGTCTTTCCGCCACACCAGTCCTGTGGCAGGAGCCCCACTGATGCTCTCTGACCGGGAGCTTCCAGAAAGGTGCCTACCTCCGCGGGTGCTCGAGGCCAAGCGGAGGTGTTCCTCCGTCCCCGCCTCACCTCATCGCCAGACATCTCTCGCCATCCTTTCATCCACCCTTGTATAAAACCCGCACCCCCCGCCCCACCCGGCGCCGCACCCCCTCCCTCGGCTGCTCCCGGCAGGCGGGGAGCTGAACGGACAGGGGCGCGCAGGAGGCGCGCAGAGCTCTCGGGCTGCCCGCGCTCGCGGCGCCTGGGGAATTGGGCTGTGGGCGAGGCGGCCAGGGCTGGCCTTTATCGCTCGCCCCGCTGGTGGTTTGAAACTTTATCAGCGAGTCTCGCCACTCGCCGCAGACGCGAGCGGGGGGCGGGGGCGCGGCGAGGCGCCGGCGGCCGTGACGAGGCGCTCCCGGCGCTGAGCGCTTCTGCTCCAGGCACGCATGGCGCCCGCACACGGAGTCTGACCTGATGCGGACGCAAGGGGGTTAATATGAACGCCCCTCTCGGTGGAATCTGGCTCTGGCTCCCTCTGCTCTTGACCTGGCTCACCCCTGAGGTCAGCTCTTCATGGTGGTAAGTCCACGCTCGCGGGTGCAGGGGGATTTTGGAGATGGGAGTGGGGAACGCACTAGCCACATAGACCTTTCCTGGTGGCGCTTCTCCGCGGCCACGGCAATCGAAATTCCTGTCGGAACCCCCAGCAGCTGTCCTCTCCTGCCGCCTCAGCCTCAGCCCCTTTGCTTTTCCACAAAAGACCATTCCAGCTTTGACAACTCCAAAAAACCCCCCAGTCTCCCTCAAATGAGAGCTCGGATGTTTGGTTGATTTGGAACCAGATGAGCGACAGCAAAATCAGCCAATTTCTTATCCCGTTGAGAGACACGCTAGCCGGGTCTCTAGCTCTGGAGCACAGGCATGTGTGTGCGTGCGTGTGTGTGCGCGTGTGTGTGTGCGTGAAAATTCACCTTGAAAACTACAACCCTCTCCCCCCACCTAAATACCCCACACAAAACTGCCTCAAGATAAACTGACGGGCCAATTCTGGCAGTTGAGAGCTGCACAACGCAAAGCGTATGATTTTGCATTATTTCTCGTCCTTCCACATTCCTAATGCTTCACCCGTGGGACGGAAGGACCTCTTGCTGCCTCCAGGTAGAGATTACCACCTTAACAGGAAGATCCAGCCCCAGGGGGCTCGAAGATGCTACCCTGTTCAAAATCACAGTCCCCCCAAAGAGTAACTTTGTTGTCCTTTGTATGCTGGTCTGAGATTTATTTTGCAGAGGGAAGGAGTGGCAGAATGTTGAAATGTAACAGGTCTTAGCGTGGTTAAAAGTTCCAAAGGGAGATTCTCTCCCCACTCCATCTCCCTTCCTTCTGATCTTGAAAAGAGGTGGAGTTGTAAGCTCTGTAATGTCCTTGAACCTGCAAGTTTCAGAACAGATACTAAAATACTGATTCAGAAAGACCAGTTATCGTGGGCTTTTTTTTTTTTTTTTAATAAAAGGATCTGGCAAAAGTAAGGAGTCTCAGCCAAATTAAAGGCTAGAGCAGGGAATTTTAGGAAGACCCTGGAGCTCTTCAAAGGAGCCAGGCAAAGCGTTGATGGGAAGAAGGGTTCAATTCCTTCCTAAGCCGCTTTGAACAGGAAGGCGTTTAGCCTTGACTTTGCTGACACAGGATCAAACATTGATTTATCAGAGTGACCATTTTTCAATAAAATGACTATTTCTGTTTCCACGGGTGTATAAACATTATTTATTGTCCCGGTTTTTTGTCACATTGTCTCTCAGCTGTCACTTAAATATATTTTTTGGAAGTCACAGCTGTAACGATTTTATGATCATATAAAATAATGAAAATACAAGAAAAAGACATTCTCCTTGTTTGATCGCTTCAAAAGACACCTATGGCAGCTTGGGTTATATAAAAGGTACCTTTCTAAACATTTCACAACTAATAGAGAACATCTGGGTAGAGATGATGATGTAATTTTTTGTTAAAGTTTCTTTTCAAAAGTACTTTATGGAGCTATAACACGGTTTGATTCTTCCAAACATTTAGTGTCCTTAATAACAATAGAAAGAATTTTTTTCCCAAAGGTTCTCTATAAAAGCCAAAGAGAGCTGGAAAAATGGAAATATTTAAAGGATTCTTTGGTAAGGAAAGAAGGGCATGTCTGTGAGAATGGTGTAACATCAGATACCACCAGCAGGTGTTGATTAGACAGATACAGACAGTTTCTAAAGACACTTAAACATTAGGCCAAATAAATGGGAGCAGGCAGCTTCTAAAGGTTGACTTCCCTCAAAGCGAAGCCCAGACACACTGTGTCATGGAGATCAGAGCCTTCTCAGGGGGAAAGGTCTGAAGCCTTCTTCCCCAAACCCATTGCCCCTCTCCCTCACTCTTGACCTTGACTCTTCCACCCCGGCCAGAGCATCATCAGGTGGTGGCCCTGGCTTCCTGTCCGAGACACGCAGTCATTGCTCCCTTTTGGGTGGCTTCTACCAGATCATTCCCCTGCCTGCTGTGCCGCCTCTTGTGTTCCAGTGTCCCCCAAAGGATAAGGAATTGCTATTTGAACCACGCTCTGAGCGCTTTAGTTTCCCGGGAAACACGGCACCAGCCGTGGCCATTCGTGGTGTTTTCACCTCCATGTTGGTCCTTTTCAGGTACATGAGAGCTACAGGTGGCTCCTCCAGGGTGATGTGTGACAATGTGCCAGGCCTGGTGAGCCGCCAGCGACAGCTGTGCCACCGGCACCCGGACGTGATGCGGGCCATTGGCCTGGGCGTGGCCGAGTGGACAGCAGAGTGCCAGCACCAGTTCCGCCAGCACCGCTGGAACTGCAACACGCTGGACCGGGATCACAGCCTCTTTGGCAGGGTCCTGCTCCGAAGTAAGTCCCCTGCCCTCGTGGAGCTCCGCGGGGCTGTCCCCTGACTGGGTCTTCAAAGACCCTGCTTACCTTTTCTTGCCTTTTATTAGTCAGAAGCTCCTTCTGTTGGGTGGCATTGTCTCTGTTTTGCAGATGACGACTAGACAAACCAAGGAACTCGCCTCAAGTTTTGAAGGAGGCAGGGCGTAGTTTAGGATGAAGTGTCTCTTTACTCTTTGCTCTGTCCGTCCGTGTCCTGTCACAACCTTGCCAGGGTCAGATTTTGTCTTCAGGAGAAAGGAGGAAGCAGTCACAGGGCTCTCTTGATTTTTTTTTTCTTTCTGGGATTTGAACCTTCCAGAGGATTTGAGCAGATCAAGGTGGAATACTCAAATCTTTTACTGACCAAAAAGTATTTCAAAACAAAACTAAACTAAACAAAAAAACTATGTGTTTATTAAGAAGCAGAGACAAATCTCTGCTCAGCACCTTTCACCTCTCATTCAGCTACTCAGCTTTGGGTCACTCTGTGTCTAAATTCAACATTTTTTTCTCCAGTAGACTGTAAATTCTGCAAGGTAGGGACTAGCCTCTCTTCCCTGCACTCACGTGATGCCTTCTGGGGTAGGCACCGTTCACTCACGGAAGAGTTGAATGAATGGATGAACTCGTAGTGAGAGCCTGTTGTTTTTCAGGCACATTTTAGGAAGAATAATATTTATGGAGGATTTGTGTGAGAACCATGAATACATAATCTTCAAACATACATGTTTGTTTTGTTTCTGTTTTACTTAGAAGGAGCAGTAAACACTATCTAATTACATAATAAATTTCTTAAAAGTTCTGAATATGGGAAGAAGCTGGTATACAATCAGAGCAAATGAACTGAAAATCAGATTTCATTGTCAAAAATACCCATCCCTTAACCTGGCACTACTAGCATTCTTCAAGAAGTAGCATGGCCCATTGGCTATTGGGAAATCCAACTGAAAACACAACAGTTTATGTGTGAACCCCAGAAAGAGGAAACTACACTTGTTTTTGCCCACCGCCCCCCCATTCCTAAGAAAATTGTCCAGGCTGTACACTTGGTAATGCTTAACAGAGGGTGTTTCTATCATGTAGTCATCACAGCCCTAGGGTTTTATGAGGCCAAATGCATAACTGAATGTCTCTAAAATCCCCCAAGGGCGTAGTACTCTCACTCAGTGTATCCCTAAAGTTAATTTACTGCGATATTCTGCAATTTTATTCTCTAGTTTAAGAACTATATCCTCGTGCATTCCTTTTGGAGTTTCAATATGACATCGCAAATTTTTGAAAGGTTAATAGTAAATTTCAGCTACATGGAATTTTAAGACTTCACCTAGATTAGCTCACCAGTGAATCAATTAAAGTGCTGGACCTTGTCAGAGACAGTTTACAAATATCTAACACCAGTGATCTTTGGGCATGTTGTGGACAGGCTCTCAGTGTTTGAGGCTGTATGAGGACTTTCCTTTCCAAAGTACTCACAATCATTTTTCAATCGTTACAAATTAAATATCCTTCTCATTTACAAATATTCACCTCCAAATTCTGTCTGCAAAAATCCGTTCAGATGTCTCTGTACTGAATAAAAACCTTTAGATCACCAATCAGAGGAAGGAGTTTTGTCCACAGAACCTAAAGATAGCATGTCCAGCTAAGCTGGGGATTCAACTGTAAAATCCTTTCATCTTGGCTGTAGGGTTGCCGAGAGGCAAGAGGTTAGGACAGGAGGAAGCAGTGGTCGTTTGACTTAGTGTCCGGCCTCAGGTAAATAAGAGTCTAAGCTGTACTTCCTCAGAGTTCTTTCAGATGAAGCTGAATGCTTTCTTTGCCAAAGTACTTAAAACGTAAAACACTCATGCTACACAATCTCTTTCCGTTCTTCACAGAAAGCCAGATTTCTTCCTGGACATTTATATAAACTCCTGTGACTGTCGGGGATGATTTTGTGTTGGTTATGGGAGGGCTGCATTTGGCCTAACGTAGTTTATCCTGGATATAATCAAGAAATTCCAGTGAAGCTATCCAAAGATTTTTACAATTAATTGCTTGGAGGGAAATTCACATCTCAAGTTGTGAAGGACTCTCTTTTGGAAACCTAAATGTCTTTATAGATGAATAGGAAAGGCAAAGGCCAATGCCATTGATGGGGAGAACATAAAAGTTACTAACATATCCCATGGTCATAGAGAAAAGGAGAACATTTACTTGCCTCATTTGCTTCAGAGAGCTAGAGGAAGACAATACAATTTCTGGAAACATTTGCAATTCATTCCTTCCACAGACTGTCACCAGCCATAGGCAGAGAGACTTAAAAGACCAAACTAATAAACCCAAAAACATTCCTGCAAGAATACACCTCCAGAATTCTAGAATAAGCCTTAAAAAACAAAAAGGTGAGTAGGTCTCATCCTTGTAAATGTATCAAAAGAAAAAAAAAAGCATTTAAAGAGAGAGCTGAATGACCCATAACTTTCCAGAATGTGGAGCTTCTAGTGTTTTGCCCTCCCAGGTAACCATCCCCTGCCCCAGCAAAAATGATGCCTATGCACTTGATAGACATTTCTTGACTTATCTCAACCCCCAAATTATTTTTTTAAGATTTTATTTATTTATTTGTCAGAGAGAGAGAGAGAGCATCCACAAGCAGGGGGAGCGGCAGGCAGAGGGAGAAGCAGGCTCCCCGCTGAGCAAGTGCCCAGTATAAGACTCGATCCCAGGACCCTGGGATCATGACCTGAGCTGAAGGCAGATGCTCAACTGACTGAACCACCCAGGCATCCTTCTCAACCCCCAAATTAGTGAAACTTCAACCACATCAGGAAGTTAAGTACCACCGTTTAGATTTGGATTTTGTTTCATATTGTGATGGCTTTAAAAAGAATCAGTTTTTCTAAGAGGCCCAAGATCAAAATTTGTTTTGTTACAAAGCCAATTCTTGAAATGTGCTACTATTTCACACATAGCATTTTAGTGATTCATCTAAGACACTTAACTGAAAACATCTTAAGGCCGTTATCTACATGATACCAAAACATCTGGAGGTAAAATGAAAAGTCAATCAATGTGCTAAGTTTTGCATTTAAATATATAGACATCTAGGTATTTAGTAATGTGTTTGAATAATAAATGACAAATATTTAGAAAGGTGATATTTTTGCTTTGGAAATTACTTCAGAAACACAGTACATTTTCAGTGATTTTTCTTCCTTCTTTCAGCCAACAAATCAATATAATTGTTTGCCAGTTATGCTAGGATGAATTCACCTAGGCAATTTATTCCTCTACTGCTTTCAAAATACTGTCTGGTCACTGACATTGTATCATCCACATCTTCCATACCTTTCCCCTAAAAGACCACCTCATAAAATTGCTCTTCTTTCTCCTTAAGAAATAAGACTAGTGCTAAATACATTAAGCATTTGGAATCTCTCCCCTCCGTGGCATCTCTAAATGAAGGCACTACACTCCAAATACAAAACCAGGCATTAGCAGATCAAGGGGGTAACTATGGACAAGGCATTTTCCTAAACTATAAAATGGGTGTAATAAAAATTTTATTTATCTGAAAGTCACTACCTGAGATTAAGCTACATTAGTATCTATTAATCACCTTCTTTTACAAAACATCTCAATTCACTTAGAAAATCTATGATCCTTGTAATATAACCTGGGACTCTTTAAAAGAGCTCTATGACCATCACATTTCTCCCTGGAGAGTGCTACCTGCTACCTATGGCAAATATTCATATAATTGATTTTACCTAAATACAGGGCATGATGGATTCCTTTTTTGATGGTTAGAGGTTTCAGGGGAGATATTTTTTGAAGGCTGAGGTAAGTGCCATTTAATATGGTGTAGATATGTTTTCCTGATTTTTAATAATGAGACTAGCAGAGCAAATATTGCAAGGGACATATAATAAATTTTAGCACTGAATGACAAACGGAAACATGCAGGGCTTCAAGGCGAGAAGGTGGTTTGTTCTCCCAGCTGTGTGGTTCAAAAAGTCACACTCGTCTTGACATATTGAATCACTGAATGGCCCTCCATTTTCTGCCTTGCATTGGCATGAGGTTGTTGAGCTTCTATTTTGATTGTTAATATATTTGCTGCAGCACCCATTAATAAAAGGGCATGCTAATAACAATGAAATACAGCTCCACTTGAAAAATGAGGTGCACACAGACCCTAAAGAGCCTTATATCTGTCACTATACCACAACACCGTGTTATGAGTTACTACAGATTATTAAAATAATTTAATGTAGTTATTGCACTGAAATATGTACCTTTCAGCCTGTAAGGGAAAGTAGCTTGTGCTCTAATAAAGAACAATTCTAAGAAAGCACCCCAAAGGGTTCTTGCCCAAGTCTAATTATAGGCGGTAAATTTGTTTCCTTCCAGAAAAACCAAAGAAAAGCTTTTCACTGTCTTTTACCCAATACCAGTGATTAGTGCAGGTGTTCCAGAAGAAAGTAAATTCACCTTAATAGTCAGACGTAGTATGTAACTCAAGGATATTGCATATTGCCTTCAACAATCTCTCAATTACTCGTGGAAGTTGATGCTGAGCCAGAGCTCCCTGGGCTGAAGGCACAGAGCTGGTTACTGCCTGAATTCTCCTCCCGGCCTCAGCCCCTGGGGGTCTTTGTTTTTGTTTTTTAAGATTTTATTTATTTGGCAGAGAGGGACATAGCGAGAGAGGGAACACAAGCAGGGGGAGTGGGAGAGGGAGAAACAGGCTTCCTGCGGAGCAGGGAGCCCGATGCGGGGCTCGATCCCAGGACCCTGGGATCATGACCTGAGCCGAAGGCAGATGCTTAAACTAAGCCACCCAGGCGCCCCTCTAGGGGGTCTTTGAATTCAGGCTTTGGGCCTCGGCTGTTTATGTGACAGAGTGTCCTCACTGAGACCTGCAAGCTTGGAAGGGGCTTTCAAGGACAGCTGCCGTAGCACGAATACCAAACAGTTTTGTGGCGTGACAGACTCCGTTACAGACGGAAGGAAGGCCTCCGAGGCCTCACACCACTCTTCCAGGACAGGAGGTAAACGTAAAGCCAGGAGGGGGGCGAGACACGCTTTTGCTCCGTTTTCCTTTATACGCTTAGCTGACGTGAAAGACGGTTGTCACACAGATGCCTAATCTGACAAAAGCTTTTATGACATGGACACAATTCCTATTCAAAAGCGAGCCCTGGCTCTAGAAGAGACCCCTTCAAGAACACCAGAACCTTCCTGCCCCGTGGTGAAGTACGCCAGAGGTGGAGCGGGCGGGCCACAGCTGCAGAGTGAACGCTGTTCACAACCAGGAATTCCAGACCACGTTTAAGAAAAGCATTTCTGTTGCAGGTAGTCGGGAATCTGCCTTTGTTTACGCCGTCTCCTCAGCTGGAGTTGTGTTTGCCATCACCAGGGCCTGTAGCCAAGGAGAACTAAAATCCTGTTCCTGTGATCCAAAGAAGAAGGGAACCGCCAAGGACAGCAAGGGCAATTTCGACTGGGGTGGCTGCAGTGATAACATTGACTACGGGATCAAGTTTGCCCGAGCCTTTGTGGACGCCAAGGAAAGGAAGGGAAAGGACGCCAGAGCCCTGATGAACCTTCACAACAACAGAGCCGGCAGGAAGGTATGGACGGCTGTGGCGCTCGTTTTATAGACTGCATGGCTTGGTCAATCACTTAAGCCAAGCTTATCTTAAGCTTTCCTAGAGTGGATAAAATGCTATACAGTCCCAACTGCCCCCTGCCCTGCCCACCCCCCACCCCTCCCCCAACCCCCGCCCCAGAATCTTTAGATTCTAAAGAATACCATGGACTGGGTTGAAATGTCTCCACCCACACTCCACCTTCCTTCCCACAGCTGAGTTGGAGTCCACCCACTGCTTTTGGCATTGTGTAGAGTCAAGTGTTTTATGGTCCCTCTGGATACTGTATCATCTAGACAGAAGATATCATCTGTGGGTGAGGGTAGGGCTTCATCCCACGTACCAATGGGACATTGAATGCTTGTATCTGAGGGGATCAGAGCATCTTCTCTCAAACTCATCAGGAAAGCAACCCCGCAGGCACGGCTTGTTGACTTTTAGATTTAGAGATGCTCTTTTTAGAACCCGACCCAACTCTCATGCATAAAAGCCCCACCTTGTGGTTTCTGGGACTGGATGAGTAAGCGGACCAAGGGAAGACATGTCCCAAAGGGGTGTTCTGGCCCCTTATCCACTAGTCCTGACTAACTTCCTGGGCTGTGGGTACCCAGTCATTATTCACCTCCTCACCCCCATTTGTTGGGTGAGGCAACAGGCCCTAAGGTGCTCAAGGTCACGGGGAGAGTCAGTAGAAAAGTCAGTACTAGCACTCAGGTTCAACTCCTGGCCCGGGGTGCTCTGGCCCAGGATTAAACCATTTCAGAGCTAGTATTCAGATATGTTGATGTGCCATTTCTTTTTGCATGGTGACAGGACCAGAATAACTAGAGAATCTGGATGCCGCACATTATCTCTTTGTGTAAAAAAAACATAAACTGGCTAATCAAATATTTGGTCAGAACCATTCTAGAATAATCGAATTGCCAATGAGAAGAGATAACCGTAATTTCTCTTTTATCAACACGAAACACAAATGTGCTTGACATTAATATATAAAGAAAGATCAGCATAAAATTGAAAGGTCCCCAGGAGGGCTTTAATAGAAAAAAGAATTGAAAAGAATGCAGATCTGTTTGGATGAAAACCCTTTTACTAGGCTTATGGAAAGAACAAATCTCATTTAAAGGAAATTGGAAGGAAAGTCTTGCTTAACACATGGAATAAAATGAGTGTGACCTGAGCTGTTTACAAATAGTACCTTTCTTGAACTTTAAAAATCAACATTCCTTATTTTCATGAATTTATGAACCTACAGTGACTACTGCCAAGAATATAGACTATGGTTGTGTAATCCTACAACTATTGGTAATTACTGTTTGTGCAATGGTTTAGATTAAAAGAAATTTACATTGACCTGTGTTTTGACATTGATACCACATGTATAAGTTATAAAGTGTGGTGTCTTTGATAGGAGCGTGCTGCTTAATTATTCAAGCAGGGTGTGTAGTTAGATCTAGAAGACTATTTGTAAAGGTAAAGGCATGTGGTCCTACATTGTAACCAAAAGAATGTCGATTTCTCAAAAGAAATGTTACTTTTGCTTAATAGGCCATTAGGTTTTGAATGTTTCACCTCTTCAAGACAATAGAGCTTAGCTATTATATTGAAGGCCCTGATTTAACTTGACTTTTAATATAAATCACATGGTTCTTCACTGTGTAGAGGTGAGCAGCCGTCAGGCCTCAGATATTCTCCTGCCGAGTCTGCAAAACTTAGGAGGCTACTTTTGATTGGAATAAAAGTGCACACACTGACTTTTTAAAATGTGGCTTTAATTAATGGTGGGTGGGCAGACTTTTTCAAGGAGATGCATGATGTCAGTGAATATGAACTTTAATGAGAGTAAATGTATTGAGATAAACATGCGTCTCTAATTCTCTTCTTGCGGTCATTAGACCCCCAGTCTCTGCTCCCCCTTCTTACCAGCAGAAGGTCTGTGGAATCAAAATCAGAACAGGCTGGGCTTGTGTTTGAAGGCAGGCCTCCTGAGCTAAGCCTCCAACTGACCTGGCTCTAGAAAGCCCCAGCCTCCCAGAGCGGAGAGCACTGTCCTTTCCTTATTTTCTTCTTTGTGCTTTTCAGTGTTTCCCAGATTGTCCAATACAAACACCCTCTACTTTTTAAAATGTGGGTCAGGGGACCGTTTTATTTAAAAGAAAAAACATCGATTCCGAGATTATGTTTAGCCGACACTACAAAGCGAATTCCACGCTGCCATTCACAATGGACCTTCATTTTCCCCTAATATTTGAACAGTTTAATTCATTTATTATAGCAGCTGCTTAGAGCACCCTCATGTGTCTCTGTACTGTAATATCATTTCAGATCCTCTGTGCTGTTACATCTTTTTATTTTAATCACAGCCTCAGAATTTGTAGTAGCTTTTTCCCTTCAGGTATGCTTGAAAATTCATCCTTGATTGAGTCTAATTTTCCACCTCCAAATCAGATTGTTAAGGTCTAAAAAGACAAATCTACCTTCTTCAAAACCAACATTCTATCCAGAAGGAAATTCCAGTTTCTCTCAACAGTTCTCTTTAAGTCTAAAGATGCCATGCCATGAAAACTTCTCAATGATTTTTTTAAGATATACAAATTACAAGACAAAGTTACTTGGTAGATATCCACCATTTGTACCCTTTCATAAGCTTGAAAATGGCTTTAACATTAGTCTACTCTTTAGAAATAGTCACAAGTAATTACGACTCGTTGAAATAGTCACAGCTTCTTTGACCTTTTCTAAGAGAGTCTTTTCTAAGAGAATCAAAATAATCTGTGATCTAACCAAATACTGCCCTCCAGTCACTGGAAAGGTGCATGATAAGAATTCCACAAAAACTCTTTCCCCTGAAGTTCTCTTAGTGTAGCGAAAATACAAAGATTATGGAATTTAAAATCAGACCCACCTTAGTTTTAATCTTGCAATACCAATGGCTTTGCTCACCAAAATTCCGTTTTTCTCCTGTGTAAAGGGTATTCCGTGGTGCTGTGGGAAGACAAGAATAAGGCAAATAGCACAGAACCTGACATGCAATGGTGCTCAATAAAAGTTCATTCCTTTCTCTTTAGTGAAGCGAAGGTCATCTGTGACTTTAGCAATAGATCTAGACACAAACCCAGTGGGACCTATTACTTAGGATTCAGTCCAATTGCTCCAGGTATCCATAGACTCATCTTCGGTACAGTTAAACACACTAATAAATAGGCAGGTAATATTTTCTAGTCTACAAAATCCTATCCAACGTTTTGTAATTTGATCTTCCAAGAAACCCTGTAGGATATAAACCAGCATGAGTATTCCTACTTTTCGGCTGGCAAGCTGCGGACTGGGCAGACTGGGCTGGATGCAGTGACTAGAGTCACACAGTTGTGACGCACTGGGCTTGGGGCTCAAGCCAGGCAGTGCTCACCCTTCTGTCCTCATGGACCTTCCATGGGGTCTCTGTTGAGCATTTCTGAGGAAAACACAGTGTTTCTGTATTTTACAAAAAGCAGCAGTTGCCCTTGGAAGGTGGTTTTATGATGACCTTTTTCCCTTGGTGTAGGGCTTTTTTTTTTTTTAAAGATTTTATTTATTTATTTATTTGACAGAGAGAGAGAGAGAGCGCAAGAACGGGAACACAGGCAGGGGGAGTGGGAGAGGGTTAGTAAGGGAGTCTGATGCGGGGCTCAATCCCAGGACACTGAGATCATGACCTGAGCCCGAGGCAGACACTTAACCGACTGAACCACCCGGGAGGCCCCCCTTGAGGTAGGTCTTTCTTTCACAAGCACCCTACAATGAATATGTAGGACATTTTACAACAGGGGGACCATTCTTTTAAAAGCCAAAACATAACGGCTAGTCACTGTGAGCGTTCCTGAAGCAACTTGGCCTTACTGGGTGGATTCAGAAAGTTCCAACTAATGGCGTGCTGCCACTCTGAGAGTCCTGTGTGCCACGGGACTAAATCTAGGTCGACAGATAATTAAAGCCTTGCTCTGGGAAAGGCACAGTTTGGGGCCCTAAAGCCATAGGTGGGAAAGCATAAGACAAAGAAGCTCCTGCCCACGAGAAACTTTTGACGTGTCCTTCGGGGGACGAGTGAGACACCATCGCCCGACCAGCTGCAGGCTGCGGGTATTAACAGAAGAATCAGCCATGGGGCCAGTCAGCCGAGGAGAGAAAGGTTGTGTCCCAACAGAACTGGGTGTTGGAGCTGGAGATAAAGATTTCCCATGATTGAGATAGGGAAAATTCTTTCCAGGACGAAGAGACTGCAAGGCCAAGAAAGATACTGGAGCAGAAAGAACATCAAAGTTGAGGAATGACGAGGGCTCTAGGGTGGAGTTCATAACTGAGACTTAATAGCGGCTGAGGCTGCAAATTGGAGTCTGCCAGATCTCAGCCTCGAACGCCATGCAGAGAGATTTGGATGTCGCTGGGAAACAACAGGAAGGCACTGAGCAATGCAGGAGAAATTAAATATTTAAGTTCCGCTCTTACGCATTCTTAATTCCTCTGGAGTCCCCTTTGAAAGAGTGATAGATTTCAGTTCGGGTGTTCTACAATGTGTTTGAATTAATGCCTTAAATAGAGTAGGAAAATTATAAGAAATGTTTACTTCCCTGAATTTTATTTTCAGCCTTAAATATACATATAAGGGCTGATGTAGATATTAGGCTTTCTGATGTATACTAACAAAAAATTAGCATATGGCAACTGTGTTGAAATTTGTATTTTTAACATAATGTTTACATTATTATTGGCTACTTTATTCATTACGGGTTCTCAGCTAGTGAAGGCCTCTTGACCAAGGCAGTACAGAGGCTGGGCTCTACAATCAGAATATTGGCTCTAATACTTGAGCATGACTTTAGACAGGTTACCCAAAGAGGATTTCCACATCACATAAAATGTATACACTGGGTTTTAAGCAGGACTAAAAGGCAGGTACCATAACTGTCCATATTTTGCATATGAAGAGACTAAGGTCTAAGAGG